AAAAAAATTTAAAAATTTTTAATACATTTGCAAATTTATTATAAATTAATCATGTGATCAGTATTTTTTTAAAATTATACTATATAGTTTTAATATTACAAAGTATAGTTTATCTAATTACCTATATTAAATTGACTGATTTTAAATTATTAAAAAGGATTAAAAAGTATCTTAATATCTATCAAGAATTTTTGATTAGTTCTTTATATTGATCTAAAAGATTAAAAAGGTAAGAAAGTGAAAATAATGTATTATTCTATATGTACTAAGTAAAAAGAGTGATGTCTTTAATGTTAACATATTATTATAAGAGATGTTAAGTGATAAACTATTTTTTAATGAAGATGTACATGATTTTAATTTAATTACTAGTATTATAGGTCTCAGAGAAATATTATTTCTGACATATCCAAAGATTATGTAAATATTTATACTGATAAGTTTACTATTTAACTTATAAAGAATGATCTTTTTGAATAGATAAAGGATTGATACTTTGATATATATTTTATATTAGAATTTTAAACCAGACAAATGTTCATAAAATAATTTGTTGATGAATTAAAAAAACTAAATAAAAACAGTATATACAACAATGGTATATAAATTAGTTATTATAGATCTTCATCCATTTTGAGATATACTACCGATTCTTCAATTAATGATTCATTCTGTAAATAAACATCTCAAATTTGTGAAATTTTTGATCAGATAGATACAAATAATTTAATCAAACCTTTATCTAAAAAGGGTTTACACAATAAGATTGATAAAATAGTTGATATTATTTTTAGTGAACTAAATAAAGAAAAGCCTTTATACTAAATAAGAAACCAATTCTTAGTTTTCTTAATCTTTAAGAAATTTTATCTAAAGTATTTTATATATAGCTTGATCGTCAGATATATTTATTATAATGGTAACAAAAGATTTAAAAAGGCGCTAAAATGGTATGAAAAGGCTGCAAAATTGTGCAAATATCATCTTGGTAACCTTTGATGGTATTGGTATTATAAGGAATCGTAATAAGGCTTTTGAATTATTTACAGAATCTGGAAGGATGGGAATATTTTTTTTATCTTCTTCGGCAAAAGGGAATTATTCAGATGGAAAAACTATATTAGGATATTGTTACAAAAATAGAAAGGGAACCAGCAATAATAAGAAAAAAGCATTTGAATTATACGTAAAAGCTGCGGAATTAAACAATAAAATAGTACAATATAATCTTACTTTATTGTATGAATATAGAGATACAGTAGTGTGCAAAAAAAATGACAATTTTTAAAATTACAATAGTTATACAACCACTTTATCAATCGAAGTGTACAATATGTTATTTTAAAGCTAAGAAGCAATAAATTTTATTAAAAAACATCAATATGATATTCGTTTACTATTTTTTCAATAACGTTCCTACAACGCTGTGGCATAGAGTTTACAAAATTAATTAGAGTACTATTTGGAATATTTTCCCACTCCTCCTTCAAAAAAAGCTCTAATTCGCTAAGGTTTTTTGGCCTACGCAACTCCACCTTCCTTTTAACAATTGCTCAAAAATTTTCAATTGGATTTAAGTCTGGACTATTGCAAGGCCAGTCCATAACCTCCGGGACATTATTATCAAGGAATTCTCTAGCAACATTACTACAATGCTTAGGATCGTTATTCTGTTGCAATCGCCATCTACCTTGTAACATGCTACGCACTTCTGGGAGTTGCTTTTCTAATATTTCTGTGTAAAATTTTCCATCCATTATACGTTTAAAACAAAAAAGACTGGTGATACCCTTTACACAAAAACCACCCCAGGCGAATATTTTACTTCTATCCTTTGGTACTCGACGAACTGGCCTTGCATCATCTCTATACCAATGTCTTATTGTATTCCTGAATAATTGGAAAGCCGTTTCGTCACTAAATAAGGTCTTTTTCCAGTTATCATTCTTGTGTTTTTGGGCTCATTCAACACGATTTTGCATATAGACTGGAGTTAACATTGGTGTATGAAGAGGAAGTGCATTTCGATATCCAAGGTCAGTCAAATGCCTCGAAACTGTTGAGCGGGAGACATTTACTCCAATATCTTCCAATTTATCAGCAATAGATTGAGAAGAAATTGAGGATTCCCTTCGAATATACTGCCCAATTGCTATGGATGCCCTAGGTGTTATTTTTTTAATGCGTCCACTACCACTTTTACGTTGAACATCCCCAGTAACTTCAATTTTTTTAAGGTTCCGGTAGATAGTCTTAAGTGGAATCTTTGTCAATGAGTGTATTTTGGCAGCATTGTGTATCCCATTCCTCCAGAATTGTAAAATTGTTTGACGCTGGGTTTCTTGCTTAGATGAAGTCATTTTAATGCTTAATAAATTAAAATTTTTACTAACGTATGAGAAAAGTTTCGTTTGGAGACGATAGAGTAATCATAGGGCTTTCATTTGCATATTTATTTATGTATGTACGACCAAAATTGGGCTAGTTACACTTTTTTTAAAAAAATTGTCATTTTTTTTTGCACACCACTGTAGGTCAAAAAAACAAAAGAAAAGCAAATGAACTGTATACAGAATCTGCTAAACAAGTGATATCCAAGTGCAATTGAAAAAATTGAACAAAATAATAGGAAATAAATTATCTTTCTAATGTTTTTAATTTATTTATTTAGGTAAAGTAATTATTTTTTAATTATTTATATGTATATTTAAAATGTATTTATAAAATGTATAAAATAACGTGTAAATTTGAATAAATTAAATGCATGTACACTCAATTCATTAGAATTTTCAACTTTTTTACAAGTGTTTTCGATTCGTTTAATACTTATTACGGTAAGGAACGTAGTACAAGTCTTGAAGCGTTCATCAAGTGAAAATGTTATGTACTTTGGAGATTTGACCGGATTTTTTGATTACATAATTTTTCGCTAATTTTTCTCGGTTCTCTCTAATAACACAGTAAGCAGTGTTTTTTATTGCGTAGATCTATGTTCCCGTAATACTTCGTAGGGCAATGATCTCTACGTTTATTATGTGACGTAGTATTACGAGGTGTAATACTCTTATTCCGACATTTTATTTTATTTCTGATTGGAAAAAAAATAAAATTTAAAAAAACTGAAGCCGAAATTTAAAAAACGAAATTTAAAAAAAAAAAAATAAAGCTGAAGTCAAAAAAAAACAAATCCGAAATTAAAATAAAAAATATAAAATAATTAATTAAATTAAATCAAAAAGTTATTTTAAAATTTAATTAAAAATTCGTGGGGGATTAAAAAAATTAAAACTTAAATTAAATTAAAAAATTGAAATCAATCAAACAAATATTTGGGAGGTTTGCGATTAAAATCGAGTTATAATCATAGTAAATCATATGATCCGTAACGTGATTTTAATTGCTTGCCTCCCATTTACAGTTGTTTTATTCCAAAAAAAAATGTTATTAAAGGACAAATACATCAGATTAAATAATTATTATTTTTTCTATTTTTAACAATGCTTTTTCTTTATATACTGATATATTCGTTAGATATAACAAGTTAGTCATGTATTACTTTCATTACAATCGCCGCAGTGTTGGGTCATCTGAGGAACAATACGATATGCAAACCAGTTTTATAAAAAATTAGCATTTACGAACGACGCAGTATCTGCGGTAAAATAACAAAAATGTCAAAATAACAAATATGTATATCAATATGTGTGCATGCTAAATATATTGCATAGTTTTATTTGTTATTTACGTTTAATTAATTATTTTTATTATATTAGTTATTTTCGCTATATTATTATCTTATATGTAAACTTAAATTTAGAACTTTTAATATAAAAACCTCAAAGTCTGACTTGATTGAAAAAATATGATTGACGAGTCAATAAAGTTCTATCCTTACCCATTAACCCTTTGTCGTGTTTTCCATATCGACTTGACTGTAATAATCAACTACACAAAAGGATCGTGTTAATAAAATTATTGCATAAATATTTCTTAGGGTTAGATTTAAATCCCTTGTTGGTTAATCTGATTTCTGTTCAATTCCAGGTTAACACCGGCAATCTCAAAATTATCAATAAGTGGAATATTTCCTAATCTGTATTTTTTGTGCGCTGTTTTAAAAATATAAATAACCAAGAAACACTTGCAACATAGGTTAGATCTGCTTGGACGGATTAGGAAAAAACTTGGCGGAAAATTAAAAATTCTTCGAATAATAATATAGAATAATGATCCTAATCCTAATCCTAATCCTATTTGATTTGATTAGAATTTAGATGATTATGGAAAGCAAAACATTACACTAACCCTTCTTGCAAATACATATCTAACCAACTAAGATCAATGAGTGTATGTGGCGTGTGAATAATGCAAGTATAAAACACCTACGGAATTACAAGCTGAGAATATAACTTTAATATTTATAAATCGTAATATTAACGTACCATTACTAAATGTGGTAATCGAGTAGTAACTGTCCTATAGAGGTGTACACTAAGGGAGGACGGGATAGCTTAATCCAGATGGTTTAACATCCAGGAATCATTAGTAAAAGGGAATATCATTCCGTCTATGATCACGAACATGAATACATCCACCATCACCAATGGTAATGACCTTTCACAAGATCAAGGCGAATTATGTGGTTATAATACTTATTAATTTCTTTTATCTCTGTAGTTTTTTATTTTACAAACACTTCTTTTATTATATTTTATTATGTTCTTTTTTAAATTAATTGTTACAACATATCTAAATACAATGAAACATGCCTTTTAGTGATAAAAATTGTAATTCATTGCTGTCTTAGCCAAGTCTGTTAAAGACTCGTTGTCACCTGATCACCACGTTGAGGTGCAGCAATATTGATCAGGACCCTATAAAAGCAATTATATTAGATAATTGAAGTATAAATTAAACATTCTAGTATAATTAAATTATTCCGCAATCAAGTGTGTTGTCCGGTCAAAGTTAAAAAAAAAATGAAAAGAAAAAATAAAAATAATAAAGCAAAATGGTCCAAAGAAATTTTATATATCACTCTATAATTTCATTGAATTGATTACGAGAATGTTAAATTTCAAAGTCATTTCATTAATAATTGACACGCGTTAGTAAAGTTAACATAAAAATAAAAAAACCAAAAAAAAAGCAAACCCAATCCGTGCAAAATTTTATATTATCAAGAGTTTTGTCCAGTAAACATAAAATAATCAACAAATAACACTAAACCAATCCATGTAAATTTATATAATGTACTATACTATACTACTATTATAAATCTTCAAAAATCACTCCATAATTCCATTGTTTATTTCGCGACCATGAATGTTGTCCAGTTAAGTTAAACGCGTTGGTGAAGTTGACATAAAAAATTTGAAAATTAAAATAAAAATATGCAAACCCAATTCATGCATATATTACTATACTATCTATAATATATTCTTATACATCACTCCATAATTCCATTGCTTATTCCGCGACCATGAGTGTTATCCGGTTAATTAAAACGTGTTAATAAAGAATTCATAATAAAAAAATCAAGAAAACTAAAAAAAGCAAACCCAATCCATGTAAATATTTATATAATGTACTATACGATCAATTATAAAACTTCAAAAATAACTCCATAATTCAATTGTTTATTTTCGCGTTGTCCAGTCAAAATTAACGCGTCAATCCAATTTATATATTATCTATTATAAAATCTTAATAATCACTCTATAATTCCATTGTTTTATTCCGCGACCAAGAGTGTTGTCCAGCCCAGTCAAAGTTAAACGCGTTAATAAAGTATTCATAATAAAAAAAATTCAAAAAAAAACTAAAAAAAGCAAACCCAATCCATATAAATTCGCATATATATACATCTATTTTAAAAATCTTCAAAAACACTCCAAAATTCCAATGTTCATTCCGCGACCAGGAGTGTTGTCCAGTCAAGTTAAACACGTTAGTAAAATCAATACAAAAAAAAATCAAAAATAACACTAAAAAGAAGTATACCCAATCCATGTAAATATTTATATAATGTACTATACGATCAATTATAAAACTTCAAAAATAACTCCATAATTCCATTATTTATTTTCGTGTTGTCCAGTTAAAATTAACGCGTCAATCCAATTAATATATTTATGTAATGAATTATACTATCTATTATAAAATCTTAATAATCACTCTATAATTCCAATGTTCATTCCGCGACCAAGAGTGTTGTCCAGTCCAGTCAAAGTTAAAAGCGTTAATAAAGTATTCATAATAAAAAAAAATCAAAAAAAAACCAAACCCATCCATATAAATTCTTATATATATATATTTTAAAAATCTTCAAAATAACTCCAAAATTCCAATGTTCATTCCGCAACCAGGGTTGATGTCCAGTCAAGTTAAACGCTTATCAAAATCAACATAAAAAAGTAAAAAAAAATGTTAAAATAAGCGAACCAAATCTATGTAAATATTATATTCAATCTATCTATTAGAAGATCTTCAAAATTCACTCCAAGATTCCATTGTATATTCCCAACCAAGCGTGTTGTCCAGAAAATTTAAACGCGTTAGTAAGTTAACAAAATAAAAAAATCAAAAAAGAACGCTATAAAAGCAAACCCAAACCATGTAAATATTTATATACAGTATATCTATATAAAATCTCAAAAACACTCCAAAATTCCAATGTTTATTCGCGACCAAGAGTGTTGTTAATCGCGTTAGTGAAGTCAACATAAAAAATCAAAAAAAAACACAATAAAAAGCAAACCCAATCCATGTAAATATCTATTATATAATCTTCAAAAATCACTCCAAAATTCCATGTTTATTTCGCGAACTGGAGCGTTATTCAGTCAAATTAAACCGTAAGTGAATTTAACATAAAATAAATCAAAATATAAAAATAAAAAATGCAAACCCAATCCATTTGTATACTGTTTATATATAAATACTATACTTTCTATTATAAAATCTTAAAATCACTCCATAATACATTGATTATTCCGCGACACAGGAGTGTTGTCCAGTCAAAGTTAAACGAGTTAGTATATAAAAAAAAATCAAAAAACTAAAAAAAGCAACCCAATCCATGTATAATGTACTATACTATCTATTATAAATTTTCAACACCACTCCATAATTTCATTGTTTAGTCCGCGACCAAGAGTGTTGTCCAGTCAAATTTTAACGTATTAGTAAGTTAACAAAATAAAACAAAAATAAAATAAACCGCTAAAAAAAAAGCAAACCAATCCATGTAAATATTTATATAATGTATTATACATTTATCTATTAGAATATCTTCAAAATTCACTACAAGATTCCATTGTTTAAGAGTGTTGTATAGTCAAAGTTAAACGCGTTAGTAAACAAAAAAAAAATCTCGTATTCCTTATGAATTTTAACTTATTTTGAGAAACACGCACTTTATTATTCAAAAGAATGGACGGTTAACACACGGTATTTATGTTATGTTACCTCAGAAGTGAAAGTGAGAAAAAAAATATGTAAATTCGATCGAGATGTGCTTATTTTATAAACAATTAGAAGATTTTTGATTGGCTGATCAATTGGCTGTATGTATTTTGTCGATCCTTCCCAAAATGAGAATAATTTCTCATCTAACAGAAATAAAAAAATTTTATTTTCTAAGTAAAAGAGATCGTAATCGACCATGAATTTGTTATTTGTAATCAACTTTATTATAAAGTACTTTACTTTGAGTACCTTTAAGTTATTCGATAAGAAAATAATTATTTAAAACTGAATAAACGACCTTTAAAAAACACAATTTACCGCTTCTGTGCATATAAAATTTTCATTCTACGTACTTCATATTACGTTTCAAAATATCTTCATAATGCATGTAATTTCTCGCAATTCCTTGATAATGGTTTTACTGCAAGACCAATCAGTTGTGATTCAATGATGGTCGAAGGAACTTGATTAAACGTGTCAATGGTTTTCCTTTTATTTTATAAACTTTATTATTTTTATTATCTCAACCTCTCATTTTCATCTTTTACTCTGCTATCATATTCTTTCAGAATTGGATCTTTTAATAATTATCAGCTAGTCTTGAAATTTACATACGTCACCACATCATTTGCATTGTTCCTTGAGTAAAAGTGACTAATCATTTAAATTTTAAACCCGGTAAAAAGAAATATTTATTTATTTAATGAATTGTCAAAAACTCAATAGACATTAAAAATGAATAGCACAGTAAAAATTAACCAGATTATCATTAATAATTTAATAAAAAGAAATTTAGATAACGAAACGTTTCGTGGTAACTATTATTTCGTAATGTGTCGCGTAAGCAGTGATGGCAAATGACCAGGTCATTTGGCGATTTTGAAATGACCACTGAATGACCTTCGAATGACCCGGTCATTTGAGGTCATTTGGGTCAGTCACTTTCCATAACTGTCATTCTATGCTTAAGGTCATCATGAACGCGCAGTATGCCATAATTTTTTTTATGACTATTAAGTGCGAAATAATCGATTCAGGTTTGCATAATTATATTCATATTTATATATTACAATTTTATTTAAAAACGTTACGTCTCAATTTGTAGATGGTATCTCAGCAAGATGATTTGTTATTAACAATTGGGAAGGTGTATGTAAAATCAAAGAACTTCTTGTTGTTCTATTACCAAAATAGAGTCCAATTCACGACGAGCTAGTAATACAAGAAAGAAAAATCGTGAAATACGCAATCGATCCGCATCATTTAAAAATATCAACTATTTTATTTGTTATATTGGAATTGTATCCTTAAATTCTTCTGATATTATTTTATGACGAAGTATTCAATATCAACAAGTCATGAATCCGACCAAAAAAAAACTAATTTTCAGCCTTGTTACGTCAAATATAGAGTGGATGCGTCTTTTTATTACATGGACCTCTGGAGAAAAATGACTTTAACTTCAGTCTGCCAATTTAGCTCCATGACACTAATTAATAATCTTCAATAGTTGGAAAACATTAACTGCAGTAGTAATTTCTGAGTTTCTTCATCGACCATATATGCTGTTAGTGTTGGAGAGTTAGGAACAAAGTATATGATTTAGAAGCTAAAATGAATAGAGTTCTTGAGGTGGAAAATTGTTTGGAATGCCATCATTTAAATTGATGAATGTCAGGATTTTATTTGGTGTTCGTATTTGTTAATTACCAAAATATCTTCTGAAGCAGATATATTTTTTGAATGTCGAAGTAAACATGACATTGACGAAATGCTCTAGTTAGTACATTCTTAAGGTTACTCGAATATCATCAAGGAATTTTATTCTTGACAACAAATCGAAGTAAGAAACTTTAGTTATTTTGAAAATTTTGCTTCAAGGTACAGTACATTTTTCTTCGATCATTAATAATAGACTATAGTTAGTCAAAAAAAAATCTTTAGTGGTTCGTTATGATTCCAATCTCTACCAAGGAAGGCCCTTTCATAATATATTTCTTTCTCCTAATAGAATTTTGTGGATATTTAATTGATGTCACACTGTGACATGCTTATGGACGGTTTGCTTTACGGATCATGAGTGTATAGAGAACAACCATATGAAATTTTTTTAATATTATTGTACAAAAAAAGATCTTTTATCAGGATCTTTTTGATAATATTGTTATAAAAATTTTAATGTTTCGTCATCATCGTCATCATAATGTGAAAGAATTAACTTGCACATTACGTAATAAAAATTCATGTGTCTATAACAACAATAAGAAATGAAAAATTCGAAATGTAATTGTTATTAAAAAAAAAATTACATCATCTTATTTTCTTTTTTTATAAAAGAAACATATTTATTTCCATCAAACTTGACAAGATTTGCATTATTAGTGGTTTTCCATTAC